AGATAAAGGGGCAAAGGGGAAAAAGTCGTCCAAGAAGGTAAAAGTCGAGGGGAAAGGAGACGGAGTAGAGGAAGCGATGGAGAAAATGGAAGTAGAGGGAGAGATGGAGACTTCAGGTGAGGACAACAAGGATGAGCATCCCGGCCCAAGTGGGGATGGCAGGGAAGCAGGTGGCGAAGACAAGAAGAGCCAAGACAAGGCAGAAGAAACGGACAGTGACTTAGACATTGAACTGGGTTTACTCGCTGATGCCAAGAAAGGTAGCGGAGAGGACAGCGACAGTGACGTCGTGGTGACAAGACCGACACGTTCCAAGCGCCGTGAGGATGAAGATGACAGTGATACGGAGGACAGTGATGAGGAGAAGGTGGAAGATGATAAGAAAGAGTCGGAGGACGAAGGAGACACCACATGGTACTCACTTGATGACCGCAAAATGCCGTTCCCCAAGTGGAAAGTCCTTCCGTCCTTGCATCAACGAGAGATGGGGTTCGGCCGCGCACTCTTCCCCTACTATGCATGCGGGCTGACAGACTTTGTCTCCAGATTTGAACTTCAGCACAAGTTAGAACACCACGAGGGCTGCGTGAACACGCTGCATTTCAACCAGCCGGGCACCCTTCTGGCGAGTGGCAGTGATGACCTGAACGTGGTTCTATGGGACTGGGCCCGCAACAAGCCGGTGTTGATCTATAACAGTGGCCATCGGAGTAATGTCTTCCAGGTACGTACCTGAGCCTGATTTTTCACACTCTGGTTGAATGTAGAAGATCACGTTTAATTCTGTATTTAATGAAGAATTGTTCCATTATTACTGACAATGACATAACAAGAAATCGGTGACCTTTTAGGGTTAGAAACATCTTGAGCTGTGTGAACTTGGCTAAGTAAGATGGCTGCTTTAGACAGGGCCTTTCATAACATGATATGAACTTTATAATGAAGATTAGAAGAAAAAGCTGCTACCGGTATACGAGGCATAAGATAATTGATGTAGTTATTGCTTGGAATTGCAGTCATCAACTGTGTGACCCTTGCTGCAGTAAGTCAGAAAGAGAGAAATGTGGAAATTTGTTATCAATGGAGACTTGTGATAAAATATGTCTCTTATTACGGTTCACCTAGATATAGAAAAGTATCAACTTTTTAAATTCTTGCTTTCAAGTTCAACTCTACGAAAGACAATAAGATACCACTAGCACTGCATTTTCTGTTTCACTGCCAGCATCTGGTGTGACCAAGTAAACAGGAGTAAGAGTGGTTTCCATGTCCATGATGGCATGCACAGGTGTATGTGTGCCTTCTGGATATGTCCTAGATATCTCTTAAGCAGAAACTCTCGCAGTAGTCATATTACCATTTTTGACATGTACTTGCCAATGGTAAAGCAAGCAAAACTTAATTGAACAGAATAGCCAAAAGATTTTGCAAGATTCATAATCAAATTGAGAATCATGAAATCCAATCACATCACATCAAGTGAGAATGTTCAATGATAAAGCTATATATACATTGTAATGGTGATGGTATTGATTGTACATGTATTTGAAGTGTTTGCATTAAAAATTCAAGACATTTTCTATTAATATATCACAGTCAGCTCACTAAACCTTTATAACACATAAAGACATGAATTATACGGTAGTACAGCCAATAGCTTTAATTTATTAAACCTACCAGTTTGGAACATATCCGTTTGATGTAAACATAATGATTATATGTAACTGTATGTATAGCTATATACATCACATCAACAGAATTCTGCCAAGTACAGTATGGAAAATACATCTGTACATGTACTTCTCTTTATGGCAGTTTCTTTATGGCCATAACGTGCTGACAAGTACATATATTCCGGAGCTGGTGCTAATGCTGTACACTTATAAATGGGATGGCTTGCAGGCAGCTTGATGATGTGTTAAGGGGCGTACCATCATTTGTCAACACCGATATCGGCGGCTTTTCATACTAATCATGTTCCTGTGAACAGTGGTATGCTTCAGTCTCCAAGTCGTTTATCAAGGTTTCCCCAAGTACTGTAACAGATTTGAGATAGTTATTAAAGAAATTCATGTCATTATACAAGAAGGTAAATTTGAAGAATTTGTGGCTTGACGCTGTGAGACCCCGGAGAGGTCAAAAGCCAACATGGTACAGTATGTACAAAAATCTTTCATCCATCTTCATCTGATGTTGCTGCCGTATCTTGTCACCTGCAAGATATGGTAAAGTCTTGAGGATCACCTGTTTTGACCTATGGTAATAGATCATGGAGATCTGGAGAGATGTTCAAATCTTTAGTTAAAAGAATATTCTTGGTTCTATTCAAGTGAATTTCATCCTCATAATGATCCTATTATTATGAAGTGCTATGTGCTGGAAAATTGTTACCACACACCTCACCCTTTTTCGCATGGTCCAGTAGCTATATTTGAGGTGTTTGCCTAGAGCTGCACTAAGCTACCCAAGTGCAAGAAACAGGCGGAAGTAATTCTGCACATGCTATGCCCCGATAAAACACATGTACAGTTCACCAGTGGAGTACTGACTGTAACTGTATTTACATGTTCAGTCATCTCTATTTCACATGATCAGGGCCCAGGTTCAGAAATACCAGTACTAGGTGCATGGTTAATATGTCCTGCGCAGGACATATGATCAGCATCTGCCACAGGCAAAAATTGCAATTGAAAAGAATTAATATTGTTGATTATAATATAAAAATCTGCGGAATGCTCAATGTATAAGTTATGATATTATGATAAACAGTGTTTAGACAGAGTGTATACTTTTTACGTAATACTCCCAAAAAACCCTGTTTGTACAGAAAACCTTTCCCAGACTGAATTAAAGCCTAATTAAGATGTACGCTTGCCTTGAATTATGTACCAGATTTTCTTTATGCCTGATCATAGATTGTCACAACAAATTTTATTGCAGAAGTATGGCACTTTTGTCCGCTGCCTCTCCAACATTGACGTTAATGCATTCTTTGGCTGGCTGCCTGTAGCGGTAATGTGTTAGGTCAGGCTGGTAATGTCGCTTCTGCCAGATTTAGACTACTGTTATTACCTAATAGGTATTCCAGTTTTGAAGTAGAAAAGCTCTTGGATTTTCTAGACATCATTAACGAACTTTAATTGTCTGATTGTCAGCACTATTTTGGCATTGTCTAATCTCGCTAAGTAGAAAAAGTCCATGGTATCATCACATCGCTGTAACTTTCAATCATATCAAGGAGGAGAGGTGGACTTTGTGTGACATTGTAATAAAATCATAGCCTTCATTCAATTTATAGTATAATCTATGATAATTACTGAATGCAAGTGGCTGAAGCAGGATATATTATATGGTAACCATTAGTGGTGCATACCGGTTCACTGGACTTGGATCCGGACTTGTAAGAATATTTAGGTTCAAGTCCAAAAAAACCTAAAAGTCAAGAACCGAGTCCGGACTTATTACCATAAAAGACCATTTCACATACCCCTTTTCTTTCCAAACCACCTAAAACCTTCGGTGGATTGCAAAATCTTTGCTGCAAAATGAAGAAGACATTGCCATCGGGCATCGTCAAGTATCGGCCTCCATGTTATGTGGCGAAAGTTTCACCCAGACAACATTGAAAGCATGCAATTTTGTATATGCCATGGGTTTAGGTCCGGACTTAGAAGTCCTGAACTGAACCTAAACCTCTGGACTTGAATCCGGACCTGAACCTAAATTTGGGTTTAGGTATGCAGCACTAGTAACCATTGTTGTCAGAGGTTGTAGAAGAGAACATTCACCTTGACTTTATTAGTATTACTTGTTCCTGTAATCCAGATTTCCAGTGTTAACTTGCTACATGGAAGCCATGTCAAAATAATGGATAGTACTCGCTTATCAACGTCAACTATGCTTACTTGTAGTTGTAACAAGTTGTATGTAGAAAAAGGCTCTGGGACAACCTACATGTACATGTATATCTCAATATGATAAATACAAAATGTAGGTCTTATCAAAAGGAAATGCAAATTGAACCAAATTATTATTTATTCTGTCTATTTATTGAGATATACCACACTTTGGAAAAAGTGACAGGTAACTATCACCTTTACAAGATGTCAACCCCGAGACTAGTTTGAACCACTCACACATGAACAATGTAATTCGTACTAGTAGTCACGAAGGAAAATACTGTCAACACCAGATATATATAAGCATGTACTGTGTTTTTTAGTTAGATAATGCTTTATTTATGATTCCAGGCCAAGTTCATGCCGTACAGTGGGGATTGTACTGTGGTAAGCTGTGCACGTGACGGGCAGGTGAGAGTGGCTGAACTGTCCAGCACTGGAGTCTGCAAGGGCACCAAAAAACTGGCACAGCACAGGGGGGCAGCACATAAGGTAAGGACAACTAGAAAAGTAACATTTGCAAAGCAAATGCATAATGGTCTGCTCAAACACATTAAACACATTCACATACATGTATATGGTGACAGGAGTCTAAATGCCTACTATGAAATTGCCATATTGTGTAACCCGACACCAGTTACTATGGTGACAGACGTAAACAAAAGAGGCCATTGGCCAGGTCAGAGGTTAGTGTTTGGAACAGAAGAAGAAATGGAGCAAAAACAATATGTTTTCCTTCGGTAAACATAATTATACCGCATTGTGCTTATTTACAGTAGGTAGAATTTTAGAAGATGCAGCAGTTTGGGATATGTTTAACTGTTTGTAACTGTATGTATAGACTTCAACTCTGTACTGTAAAGACTATATTATAAATTATATCTGTGTTTTGTAATCCTGTCAATACATGTATTAGGCCACACCAATTTAATTTGTTGGTTCTCGGATTCGCCTCTTCATTTTTTCCGATTTGCAAAAAAAAAAAAAAAAATCTGGGTCTGAATCAACTAAAACATGCTCATATTTTCCTCCCAACAGTTGAGGAAAGTCATTTTCTTCCTAGTTGTTGTAGTTTTTCAATCTATCAATGCAGTGGTTTGATTAAAAGTTCAAAATTCATTGTTTAAATGTTAACCCAGCCTTTTGTGTTGACTTCATGGCTCCAATTGTACTATTTGGGGCTATAATAGGATGCCTGGACCTGTTTTTATTTTTATTTTTTTTCGCCCTGTCGCTTCATATTTTTTCAGAAAAAATCCGAGAACCAACAAATTAAATTGGTGTGGCCTTATATACAAATGTTGATACGATTGTCTCAAGAAAACAGCAGGTCATTTGATATGCTACAAAATTACAACTGTAGAATTGATTGTGAGGTGGGATGACTGTGTCACACGCTATGCTCACCCTCTTAGTCTTATGAGCTTAAACTTGGCTTAATTGGATTGTGTAGTATCTCTAAAATACCGGTAACATTTGCAAGGAATATCTACCACATACTACCGGTATGTGATGACAACCTTTGATCCAACCTTTCGGTACCACTATTGCTGCAGGCATCTGTCTGTAAGCTTTCTAAATCTCACCAATTTGCTGAGAGCTGGTAGTCAGAGATATAATTCAGCCGCCCTTGGAAGAGTCATGTGAAGGTTAGGCCATTCTCTAGTGAGTGAGTCATCTGACTGTATGATAAACCGAGGAGGACTTCATTACTAAAGGGCCTTGTGTGGAGCAGAGCAAGTCGACATTGTGCGGAAAAAACTAAATGACATTGTGAATTCAGGAATTGATGTCAACATCATGATGCGCATGACATTGTCCACCACATGACTGATATATTTATTTATTATTATTTGTTTATTTATTATTAATGACTGATATATCAAACTAGTCAGAAGACTGCAGCAGGGAAGGTGGAGAACAAACCATCGCATCTGGATACTTATGAGAAACAGAATGGCAAATTTCTTTATTCACCACCACTTCTTTTATTCAACAAGAGCCGATGTTTCAATGACTGTCTGTCATCTTCATCATTGCTCCAATAAGGGTGACAGATGGTCATTGAAACGTCAGCTCTTGTTAAAACCAACCTGATGAAATTATTTACATTTGATGAATAGAATCCATATATTGTATAAATTGCTATGGTGTGTTGACTTCATGGCTCCTATCGTACCAGTTTGGGCCATAATAGGATGCCAAGGCCTGTTTTTATCTTGTTTATTTTTTTTGCCCGTCCGCTCCATTATTTTTCTAGAAAAATCTGTTAAAAAAGAAATTAAATTGGTGTGGCCTAATGTTCATACGTTTTTCTGCATACCTGCGCTGATGTAGGTAACATGGAAAATTACCTGCATCAGACAAATTTTACCTGCACCACTCAGAATTTAGGAAGTATGGATCACACTAGTAGTAGAAACCATTGCTGTTATTTCATTTACACTTCATTTGAAATGTAGGTGGTGCCAGTCAATATTCTAATTTAACCCAGTACATGGACTGGTACATGCTAGGGGCAGGTAGACAACAGAAATACCTGCAGAGCTCCAATTTCATCTGCAGTAACGTTAACCTGCATATGCAGGTGGTATTTTGACCTCTGATTGGGCTATCTTAAGTCATCTTGTTATTTAATTAATGGTCAAATTGGATAACCATTAATTAAACAATTGTATGGTTTATGTTTTCATACAATTGTTTATCTAATTTGAATTGCTTGTTTTGTGCTCTTGGACAGGAAAAAAATCTCCTTTAATAGCAACATTGGTCAGAGTGCCAGCAATGTTGAAGTGACAAGTCTTTGGATCAGTTTAATTGGTTCATGTGGAGAGACAGATGCAGCAGTTAGGAATCACAGCATGCTCATGGGACAGTGTGATTCATGCATGTCAGGTAGTTTTAATGGTTTGACAGTAAATTGACACTCCACTGTGGAAAGATGACAAAGCTTATTTCATTTTCTTCAACAACAAGAATAAGTGTTTTTTTTTTTGTTCTTTTGGATTTTTATTCCTTATGTGATTTTGTCTTTACAGTTGAGGATGTTAAGAATGATTCATAAGATATTCTTGGGATGAATGTTCAACCTCCTGGCTTTTCAGGAAAAGACTTGTCCACAGAAGGTTGTCCATGACGGCTGTCCATATTGAATGCATACCCATCTTGATATGATACAATGCAATATCATACCATAATCATATTTAATCTAACTTATCATACTTATTATCACCTCTACCCAGAAGGTCATGTTTTTGTTAATGTTAGATGGTAGATGCCGTCCAAAAGCTTATCTAGCTGAACTTTGTTGTTGTGTATTGATTGATTGATTGATTGATTAATTGATTGATTGATTGATCTTGTCCTTCCTCCATAGCTTGCCCTGGATCCAGACTCCAACTGTACTTTCCTGACCTGTGGAGAGGATGCTGTTGTGTTCCAGATAGACCTGCGGGATGACAAGCCTGCAACGTGAGAACACTTTCCCCCATTCTTAGCTTGTCATTAAATGTGTAATATCTTCCCAAATTCAGTCTGATTACTGTGTGTTGGTCATATCAATAGATAGGCCGTGTTTTTACTTCCCACAACCTGTTGGGATGTTATATTGACCATCTGTTCACATACTGGGTAGCCCAGATTTTTTGTTCCCTGGGTGGTGGTCTTGGACAAATTTGACTGTATTTTGTAACTTGCAAGATGTTATTTCTTTATTATGAGAACTAAA